CACCGGGCGTACTTGTAGCCTTGTAGGTGATGGGCCCACTTCTAAGTGGCTGTTTGGTTACGGGTATGGGATCTCCGATGATACTGATGCATGTAATAAGCGATTCTGAAGAAAAAAAACCATTATTAAGATAAAATTCCACCCCAAAAAATTTTTTCCATGGAAAATAGGAGCAATTTTTATTAGGGAAAAATGTTTCAAGGCCCCAAAAAAAAGATCCGGTTGTGGCTCAGACCCAACAAATAATTCCCTTAGCATTTAGCCCCATAAAATAGTGAAAATTATGGTTCAGTCCCAAAAGCCCATTCATATACATGTATTGGGTGTATTTTGACCAACATACCTAAATTACCATCATCTCTTTCACAGGAAAACCGGCTGAATGGGTTCCTCCTTTGACGGCGACCGCTCCCATCGCATTTAAGGCGAAGCGACGGGGGAAAGCGGGGGGGGGGGGGGGGGGGGCGGGCGACCTCCCTCCATTACTGTGCTACTTCATCAACCTTTATTATAAATCGGTTAGTTCTAGCTCTCACTCTCTCATTAATGAAATTAGGGTTTGTTCTTCAATTGTCAACCACCCTTATGCGCCTGAAATCCCCTCAATTACTTCTCACCTCCTCATAACTGTCCTCTAACTGTCCTCATAACTCTCACCCCCCCAATGGCCGCCGATGACTTAATTTGCATGGTGTCTTTAGGCAAGAATGCCATATTTATGAAGCTAAGGTCGACAACAAGCTTTTATGAACTGAAATATGGTGTGGCTGAAAGATTGAAAGTACCTGAAGAATCTTTTTCCTTGATATATAAATCTGAGAGGCACCCCCAACATGAGTTTTTCAGTTGAGAACGAAGATGACCTGAAGTGCATGTTGGAGCACAATCGAAATATTGGTTGTACGGAGATTCATATGCAGGCTGCTGTTAATGTAGAGTGTTCCACGTCAGGGAAGAAGCAGAAAGTTAATAGCGAAATGTAAGTAATTAATAAACTCTTTATAACATTGTGCTTAGTGTGATGTAAACACTGTTATCTTTTGGTCAACTTTCAATCACCCCTTCTGGGCTTTAAATCCCCTGAATGTAACCGTATAATTGCCCTCATAAATTTGAACAACCCCCAACGGGTTTCAAAGAGTTGATGAGCATGGTGCCGTCAGGCGATAATGCTATATTCTGCATGATTTGAAGTGCACGTTGGCAGGCGATAATGCTATATTCTGCATGATTTGAAGTGCACGTTGGAACGCAAGCAAATAACTAGAATTGTTCTGATTAAAATGCAAGATGTTGAAACGCAAGCAAATAACTAGAATTGTTCTGATTAAAATGCAAGATGTTGATGCCAAGTAGTGTCCTACTCTTGAGGAAAAAACAAAAAGTTATTACTGATTTGTAAGTAATACAATGAACTCTGTTTGAAACTAGGATATGTGTGATGTTAAAATTGTGATTTCAGGTTTCGATGCTACTTTGGGGAAAAATAGTTGTCATCGCTGATGGATACATTTTAACCCTTCAGCTTACAGGTTAATTATCTAAAATATATGTTAACTATTATATGAACATGTTAACTCTCTATGGAACATGTTATACTTTTCTTGAACATGTTAACTTTCGTCGTTCTGTGTTAACCATGTCCATTGTCTGTTAAATTCCACTGCTCTATGTTAAGTTTTATTCAAAATGGTTAATTTTACACCCAGTTAGTTAACTTTTGGAGTGTTGTGTTATGCATATTGTTAACTTTCGTCATAGTGCTGTTAACTTAAGTTATAAGAAGATAATTTAACATAGTGTGCATGATATCTCACTGGTTGATTAAATTGTGCAACATGGATGCCTCTTTGAATGTAGATTATAGTTGTCCTCCTCCAGGAAATACATCCAATTCAGAGAGAATCCAAACTGATTTTCCGTCTGGTGAGATTGTAATGAGGGCTGATGATATTCTCAATAACACTTCGAGCATTCCTCAATGGTGGCACACATCATTAACTGAAAAGGGGCAACAATTTGAAACCGTAACTGAATTGAGACTAGCTTTGCAATACTATTCCATGGCCAAAAATTTTGAATATGAATTTGTAAAGAATGAACCCAAATGTATCCGTGTTTGTTGTCGATATAAGGAGACATATGGATGCCCTTGGATGCTCTTTGCATCTCCTGTTAAAAGTGATAAAAGAATGGAAATCAAAAGGTTTGTGAATGAACACAGTTGCAGACAGCATTCTAACTTGTCAGGGCAATCACGGGCATCTCGCAAGTTCATAGCAGCCCAATTACGACCGGTATTAAAGGCACGACTTGAAATCCGCCCAATTGATGTGCAAAAGGACTTCCTCACTCGATTTGGATTGAGACTTGAATACAGTAAGATATGGTGGGGCAAAGAAAGAGCGCATGAGGATATGTATGGTGATAGCTATGAGGCTTATGATCAATTAAGATGGTAAATATTACACTTAATTTATAACTTATGTACAAATGTTTATCGTAGCCGCTTTAATGTTAATATATTACCCTTATGTTCCGATGTATTATATTTATTTACATGTCCAGAAGCGGCATTGTTGTACAGGTATGAGCAAATGGAGAAGCAAACGAATCCAGGAAGCTACATTTGCATTGACCAGAATAAAGGAAGGTTCAGAAGACTGTTTATATGTTATGCTGCTTGCATCCAGGATTTCTTAAATGGGTGTAGACCCCTTTTATTTTTGGATGAGACCTTTTTGAAAGACAGATATAAAGGCATGCTCCTAAGCGCCATAGCCTATGACGGAGACCAATGGATATTTCCACTTGCGTATTGTATATGTGATCAAGAAAATATTGATAATTGGAGATGGTTCCTACAAGGCCTGTGGTCCATACTGTATGAAAGGTTGGACCCGTACAATCCTCCCCACCAATTGGTAATTATTTCTGATGCCGACAAGGGGATTCGAGAAGCCGTGAGAGAATATTTCCCTGAAGCAATTCACTCACGCTGCGTTCTGCATCTAGTTAAAAATTTTAGATCAAAGCTCAAGGATTTGGGAATGAAGGCAAAGGACACGCAGGTTTTGGGGAATTTGCTCCAAACTGTTTGCTATAAATACACTATAGTGGAATGGAACGACTATATGAAGGAAATTTATGAGATAGCTCCAGTCGCATATGATATTGCAATTAATTACTCGCTAGAGCATTGGGCAAATGCCTTCTTCCCTGGCATTAGGTATGCATTCAATCATTATGACATTTTGCAGTTGATGTTAATTGTTATGCATATATGTGAAGTATCCTTTTTATAGGTTAACCTTCGCTGATATATGTTAACTTTCACCAATTGTTATGCATATATGTGAAGTATCCTTTTTATAGGTTAACCTTCGCTGATATATGTTAACTTTCACCAATATATGTTAACTATGATGTTTTCCTTTTTATAGGTTAACCTTCGCTGATATATGTTAACTTTCACCAATATATGTTAACTATGATGTTTTATGTTAGCCTTTAGCAGTATAGGTTAAGTTTTATAGTCACTTGTTAATAATATTACATACTATATGCCCATCATACTTCCTATTATGTTGTCCTTTGCAGATATGGCCATGTAACCTCTAATGTCGCAGAATCCTTTAACAGTTGGAGTCGTGAAGCCCGATTGTTACGTATCCTGCAAATGGTGGAGCATATCCGAAAACAACTTATGACTCGCATGAACAACAGACGGATAATGGCTGGTAAGTGGACAAGCTATCTTTGTCCTAAAGCTGAGCAGATTGTTAGAGAAAATATGGAAAAAGGGCGCACTTTAGAGATTAAGCGATCTAGAGATGATATTTTCAAAGCGCAATCACATAGAACCACTCTCGTTGATTTGGAGAATAGGACATGCACTTGCCGAGCTTGAGACGTAAACCGGATTCCTTGTGTCCATGCTTGTGCAGTCATTATTTATATGAAAAGAGATGTATATCAATATTGTGATTGGTTCATGTCCGTAGAAGCATTTAAAAAGAGCTACAATGAAATATTATATCCCATACTAGACTATGAGAAGCGGAGTGTGCCCAAGGATGAAATCCAGATTTTGCCACCAATTACCACTAAGAGGAGGGGAAGAAATAGAACAAGACGCATAAACAACAGAACCATATACAAACGGCCAATCAAATGTTCTCGGTGCAAAGTTAAAGGTCACAATAGAGCAACCTGCAATGAGCCCATCCGTGACTAGTGTGTTTCAGCTTCTAACAACAATACTTTTGTATGAGACATATAGATGGTTTTAAAGTTGTTAAGTATATAGCGTTGTACTTTTGTAATCTGTGATAATGCAAGCTATATTCATTTTGTTCATGCTATTAATAGAAACTGCAAGCATGAAAGACGTTTTTAGATCTACACCTGTCATGGCAAGATTCAAACGTTTAAATGGGTGACATCTCCAACATATTAGTCACTGTTCTAACGGCTAGCTGCCAAACTGTTCCAACAGCAATATTCCAACGGCTATTAAGTTGTTCCTTATGCAATATATAATGTGCATGTAGCAAAGTTATAAGCTTAATAGAAGTTCTAACTTTCCCTTCATTCCCTCTTGAGATTGCGAGATGAAAACGTCAGAGGGTGTTCAGTCATGCGAGGAGGTATGTTGTTTTTGTAACATTCCAACACCCATGAGGCAGTGCAAAAATAGGAGGAACAAGGGTAGATACTTCTGGCGATGTGCAAATTTCCCAAAGAGGCAATGCAAGTTTTTCGCTTGGGCTCACAGTGAAGATGTAATGGTAAGTAGGAATATTCCAGATTGCCCAGAAGTCCCCGTTGAAGATGATATGGCGGTCAAGGCAAAGCAGTTGAAGAAAGCACTGAAGCAAGCAAACCGCGAAGTTGAAAAATGGAAACTTTGTTCATTCTTCCTGTGTTGTTTTTGTATGGTTCTAATTTTCATCATCTTTGTCATCTGTAAGATGAAACTTAATTGAGAAGCTTGTTGTCGACCTTAGCTTCCACTGAATGATTAAAATGCAAATTTTCTGTAATTTTCTTATCTTGCTGAAATTGGTATCTATTTTGTGTCGGCGTTTACTGATAGTGGTAAATTATAAGCGTAATAGGTTAACTTTTACTAAAATGTTTTAGTATCAGAGCTATACGTTAACGTTTACTATAAATGGTTAGGTATCAGAGCTATATGTTAACTGTTACTGATAGTGGTTAAGTATGAGAGCTATATGTTATCTCTAACTGAAATTGGTCAAGTATCACGTGTATACCTTAACGTTTACTATAAATGGTTAAGTTTCAGAGCTATATGTTAACTCTTACTGATAGTGGTCAAGTTTTAGAGCTACATGTTAACTATTACAGATAGTGGTTAAGTTTCAGAGCTACGGGCTAACTTTTATTGAAAGTGGTTAAGTTTCAGAGCTATATGTTAACTCTTATTGATAGTGGTCAAGTTTTAGAGCTACATGTTAACTATTACTGATAGTGGTTAAGTTTCAGAGCTACGGGTTAACTTTTATTGAAAGTGGTTAACTTTCAGTGCTATATGTTGTCTTTCATACTTATATGACATACAATGCAAGTTTTATTCTCAGCACATCAGTGACATATTCTATCATCCCTTATAGCCTTGTTATGTATTGCATTTCAAACATTTTAGCAGCAAAGATTCCGCTGTCAACCAGTTACACAACCAGTTAAATACATCTCCTCGTCCAACCTACCCTCCAGTTAAATAAAAAGTGGAATACCACATGATATCTTAACTAGCAACTAGTTACACAACCTTTCTCTAGTTATACATCTAAATTAATATGCCTGTTAGTTTTGCTCCCACAGCAATCTGTTCAATACATAACTTTTTCGGACATCATTCACCCATCCTTTTCTAGCACATCCACGTAATTTTTCTGTTCCCATCCTTCAATTAGGAGTTCAGCTGCAAGCCTGGCACGGATGATGTCAGACTCGTCAGCGGGATTAGTTACCTGACTGGTATTTGTCCCTTGTATTATAGCCATTATATATAAAGGAACGAAAAGCCCACAATCAAACCTACATCATATACATTGTCCCTTGTATTATAGCCATTATATATAAAGGAACGAAAAGCCCACAATCAAACCTACATCATATACATTGGAAAGATAGTTAGATATTTCAAACCTACATCATATACATTGGAAAGATAGTTAGATATTTGATGCTGAATAAAATAAAAATGTTTAAATGTGTGAAACACTAACATTCCAGTCTGTTGCTCGTAAGGGACGGCTTCATATCGGAACTTCTTCCAAACATTATTAGATCAAAACCAGCCTTCATGTGATCCATGAAACCAATTACTTTATTTACTGGCTCCAGGTATGCATTGTGGCCTGCCGAGCTGTAATGCTTGATAACATCCTCGTCCAACCTTACTTCAGCAACATGCCAGTGGTCATGCCGCACAAGCGGGATAAGGAGTACTGATTTCTTTGCGGCAACATGCTTTTGTATGAATGAGATGTATAAAGGTGGGAAATCTGGGTTCACTGCATAAAGGCTGTGTTGTATTGCCAAGCAAATAATGATAAGCCATTTATAAATAGGAGTTAAAAAACATTAGGAGTTTGAAGCTAATGCTTACGCGGAAAAATGCTGATACAACCCCATATTTCATGCCAACAGAACCAATTTCTGGCCTCTCTAGCCATGTGCTGAGCCTATCTACAAGAGCTTCCATGACATGTTAACATACGTTGGAGAAGATGCAAATTAGATTGCATAACATCTCAACACGCAGTAAATCCAAGTATTGCGTAAAAGATTAACATATTAAACTTGCATGGTCATCGATACGCCCGCCACGTAGAAGTTAAAGAAGCTCCGTTGAATCAATGCTGCTGTTCAATGTCTTAACAATAATATGTGACCTGAAACATAACAATAAGGTCCAAATGGTAACATAAACCAGGCTATAGGAAACTGGATTTGCAAATATAAACATGATTTGGCAAACGTTGGCTCAAATAGGTATAAGTTAACATAAACCTATAATCATTAACATGTAACAATGAAAACTAACATGTTGTAGCCACAATTAATCAGAATGTCTAAACTTACTGATGGGCTGTTTGATTGCAGAACTGAGAGAGCCATCTGTTCTCGTCTGGTGTGAGCTTTGCTGCTACATGCTGAGGCACTCTAAAGTTGTGCACGAAGGTTCCTTCACTATCAATCACACGTATGCTAAAATCATCAAGGTTGGGAATACTCTTGTTTAGCAACTTCAATAGAGCCTCCTCCTTCTTCTTGATTTTCCTCTTCCCAAGAAAATCCCAAGTGCATTCCTCAGGCTTACAATAGAACCTGATTTTCTCCCTCTCTTCATCCTTGTGGTGTGATATGTTAATTATATCTGGACGACCGTCCTTCTTCTTTCCTTCAGTGAAAGGGGTTCGGACTAGATGTGAGCGAGTCCTCTTTCTGGTACTTGATCCCCTAATACCCTCTTCCGATAAACTTGCACCTGATCTTTATCCTCCATCTTCTCTCCATCCTTCTTCTCACCAGCTGTCTCTTCCTCTATGTACTCCTCTTTGGCCTCAACTTTTTCGGCATCTTCCTTCTCTACTTTTTTCTCTTCAACCTCCTCTACCCCTTCCTTCTCTCCCTCTTTCTTCTCCTCCTCTCTCTCTCTTCCTCTATCTTTTCCTCCTCACTATCTACAGCTTTCCCCACATTCCCAACCTCCATTTCTTGCCATTCACCTTTCTCTGCCTCCTTCTCTATTTGCGCAACAGCCTCGGCAAAATGAGAAGCTTCCTTGCCAATGTTGGTTACATCGTCATAATCAAAACAAATTCCATCATCACCCATATCACCCCTATCATTAGAATCAAAACTCTTTCTTATTTTCCTCTGTGCATACCCTTTATGCCTATCATTTTGTGACATAATCCCCTTCACATTCTTTTTCAGGTCTTCAGGGTCAATCAAGTCTGCGGTCCATTCATAGTGCTCCAATTTCTTGTTCAACCTATGTATCTCCTGAGAGCAAGCATCCCATTGAAGGCGCTTGCTATGCTTGACAGTGTGGAGCAATTTCTAATTTATTTTGGCCGTATTCCTCCAAAAATAAATTTGCTCTACAGGTGTCAACTTATCTATTTCATCTTCTCTTGAAAAAGCATCTGCGATATGCTGGGATAAAATCTGATAAGTAAACCATATACCCTTTACCCATGTAAATCCACAAGATTAAGCAGAATAGTTATGAAAACCCACAAAAGAAAGTTAACATGGAACAATGCAAATTGAAAATGAATTAATGATAACGATAAAATATTTAACTCAATGTAAATATGCTGTGATGTGTAAAGAGTCATTGCTGCTTACGTAACCCACAGATGAGCTCTTTGGTCTGCCCTTCACCTTCTCTTGCTTCCCATCCTTCTGCTTTTCTTTCTCGTTCATCTTTCTCGGCCTAGTTTGCTCCATAGCTTTACTCCTTTTCTTCTCTTGCTTCCCGGACGTTGGGCTTCTTGTTCGTGGAAAAATTTGTGAAATAAAAGTAAAAGAACTGTGTTTGATTCTATTCTCTCTAACTGCTTAGAAAAAGAATGTTTACAATTCTCTCAACTCTCAGTTACAATTGAATTCCTGATTACAAAAGAGAAGAGAATTGATACAAATCCTCCTCTTTGTTTAAGTCTGGGTTCTTCACGGTAGCGATGGAGTACCTCCCTCGAATGCTCGTGTCGAGTTTGCTCTCCGTTGACGATCCGAACGTCTTGATTCACTGGAACGATATCTCCTCCTCACGATTTGACGCTATGGAGAACTTGCAAAGCAAGTTTTAGAACTCTGGACGAGTTGATAACTCTAAACGAGTTTAAAACTCTATGAAAGAGTTGA